TCACAGATATAGTCATCTTTTTAAAACTCAGGGGGCTGCAGTACAATGCAAGAAAGAAAGTCTATGTTCAGACAAGACCACATAGGCATTCTTCCCTGCTGAGCCTCTGGAGGAAGTGAGCTAATAACCAGCTATTAGCTGGGAGAATGCCCAGAGTGGTCTAGACCTCTTGATGACAGGTTCTATTCAGTACTTACAGGTCTTAAGGAAAATGAGGCAGAGCATGATGGTAGTAACTACAAACTTGGCAGTGCCTGCTGGATTCAGAGTAACAACTGATACTCCAGGAAAGAAACTCACCTTGTGCCTAAATACCTGTGTAGGTGGATAAGGTGAAACCAATCAGCCCAGTTCCCTCCCTACACAATAGCAGATACTTAACAAAAATATTTAGAATCACCATTTCATTATTATCAAGAGGCAGTAAAAAAGATACTTTTATAACTATGTTGTGCCTTCATTTTTACCATTTGAATAGATAAAGGCAGCTGTACTTGTCCCTATAACTTTAGTGCTTGTTATTTGAGGCCACTGAAATCTTACATATGGAGTGGCTTCAGTCAGTTGGAAGGAATGGGCAGTAATATATGGAGTTTCTCTCCAGAGATTAAGAGTGAGAACATATCTAGGCATTAATAGCATCCCACTGTGATACCACAAGATTTCATCCTCAGTACTGTCCAGCACTACACAAGGGGTGTCATTAGCAATAGTAACATCACCTCAAGGAAAAATTTAATCCTTTTCAACTGTGTATTTTCCACTAGGAATGTTGCCTCTACTAGTTTTAAGAAGGCAATGTTAAAAACAGAAATTTACCATTTTTAAATAGAAAGAAAGAAAGAAAGAAAGAAAGAAAGAAAGAAAGAAAGAAAGAAAGAAAGAAAGAAAGAAAGAAAGAAAGAAGAAAGAAAGAAGAAAGAAAGAAAGAAAGAAAGAAAGAAAGAAAGAAAGAAAGAAAGAAAGAAAGAAAGAAAGAAAGAAAGAAAGAAAGAAAGAAAGAAAGAAAGAAGTATCCACAGTGAGGTGTTTCTGTTCAAACTCTCTTTAAACAAGTACTCACCATCCCTTGATATCCTTCACACCTAGTCACCCGAACCACTGAATGGACTAATAATTAAGATCCTAAGAATCTTAATTCTCATAATACTGCAACATTCTATGAATAAAACCATGAGACAGGGAGGGCACAAGAACAAAGAGTCCTGATGTACCAGACATAGCAGAGGTTTTGATAGTGAGTGGATATGATAGTGAGTGGATAGATTTGGCACTGTAAATAATTAAAGCAGCAGTGCCTGTCCAAGAGAGTACTGCAGTCTCCACTGATACTTTATTGCATGATTCAGCTAATTTAATAATAAAAGACAAACCTTGGCTCCTTAATTGACTGAAGTTTACTTTTTAAAAGAAGTAATTAAATCTCAAAACTCCCCAGGCACTCCTCTCAACAACCCTCCAAGTCTGTGTCTAACTTTCTAAAACCTTCTAATAGACCAAAAATTTAGTTTCAAAATAGTGAATATATATTTGGTGGAGGGGAGGGCAGTATAATTACTGCTGTATTTCCTCATCTCTAGCAAGATATTTTTTAACAAAGATTTTATAATGAGATAACTTTTGCTATTTTTCTTTAAATATAATTAATGTTCTTCAACAGTCTGAAATAATTCACAATATTTATAAACAATATACTACGATTTTAAAAGTGACTTGTTATAAAAGGAAAATATCAATATCAATAAAGTGAAGATATGAGACATCATGAATCAGTCATTTTGTAGAATCCTAGGGTGTTCACCTGATTAGGATCTTATAGACCTTCTAGTCAATTTCTCATATGGTGCTGCCATTGGAAAATTTCAGGGATAGAGACTTAAATTGAGAAAAAATAAATTTGTTTAAAACACAGAGCAGGTGAGTAACAAAGCCAAGAATAAAAGACAGTTCATGTGCCTACCAAATCAGGATATTGGTTTGTTTGTTTTTTTAATACTGTCCATTCCAATAAAAATAACAGTCATTTGATAAGTGTTTGCTATTCTTTGCAAAGCCCTTAACCTCCATTATTTCATCTACTCTCCAAAGAGTCCTATAAATAAAAATTATCATTCTTTTCATAAAACTAGAACCCTTGCTGCTCTCCCTCTTCAAATCTGTTCCTTCTCTAGTGCTCCCAACCCCAACCACACCACCTTACTTTTGCTCAAGTCAAAAGCCTGAAATCACCCTACCTCATGTCTTTCTCTCATAGTCAGTTCATGAGCAAATTATATCTTGAATCTTACCACTTCTCTCTTACTCAAATCCAACTGATCAATTTCTCTAGCCTAGATTACAGATATCTGGCATGCAGTAAATGTTTCATAAATATTGGCTTACTATTGACTGAACAGTCTTCTAATTGACCCTATGACTCCAGTTCTTCCATTCATGCCTCCTTTATAGTCTATTCTCTGCAAGGCAATCTACTAGCATAATCCAGAGAGAATACAAAATAAATTAGGTCACTTTTTCAGTCAAAAGTTCTAAGAGCATCTTGTCACTTAAAATGTAAAATCTAACACCTTTGCTCACTCCTCTGTAGCATAGGGCTTCTTGCTTTTCATAGAACCCTCTCTCCTAGCACAGTTCTGTGTGGGAACAATTCCCAGATGAGGCTGATCACAGATGAGAAAACACAGGGAGTTGGAAAGATGGCTCCCAACCCTGCTAATTTTATTATTTATTCTTTTTCTGTAATGTTTGAATGTTCAGGAGATGGGATTTCATCCCCTGGGTACCTCTATTCGAAATAAACATGACCATGTTTTTTCTACTCTCTGGCACAGGAAAGTAAACAGCTTCACCTGGTAAAAGGAACAGTGAGAAACTGCAATCTTCTGATTTCCAGAAAGAGATGAGCAAAAGTGGAGGAAGATACATGAGTTGAGAAGTAATCCCACTATAACAGCTCATACATGACTTGTTCATGTATTATGCAGAGGGAGACATAAAATTCAGATAACTCTGCTGTCATGACTTTATATGACAATAAACAGTTAATAAATATTGCCTGCAAAGAGTATAAGCATAAACAATTCCTTATTTGTAAACACCAAATTAAATCAGATGTCCATTTTTCATTCATAATTTCCACCAACTACACAGATATTGCCTACAATGTGTCCAACCCCTCTATCTTCTCTCCTTTTCCAGCACCAAAGTTATTTTTAATAATGAATTTTATTTTTATATTCCCCATACAATTGCAACCCCCCATTCTGACCCCAATCCCTCCCCTCCAACCCCCCAACCCCCAAAAAGTGTCTCTGGTTCATAGTTTTTTGTTGATTTTTTCACTTTCTTATAGTTATTCATTATCCTGGCCCTTTATTTAAGTTTTCTAGATTCCTGCTATGAGAGAGACCATCCGGTATTTTTCTTTTTCTTTCTGCCTTATTTTGCTGAGCATGATCCCTTCCAGCGCCATCCATGTTGCTGCAAATTGCATGTGTTTATCTTTTTTGAATGCTGAGTAATATTCCATGGTATATATGTACCACATCTTCTTGATCCAGTCATCTATTTTTGAGCATTTGGGGTGTTTCCAAAGCTTAGCTATTATAAATAGTGCTGCTATAAACATAGGGGTGCAGGTGTTCTTTGGAATTGATGTTTCTGTGTCCTTTGGGTAAATACCTAGGAGTGGAATTGCTGGATCATATGGAAGCTCTATGTTTAGTAGGTCCAGAAATCTCCACACAGCTCTCCATAGTGGTTGGGCCAGTTTGCACTCCCACCAACAGTGCAGAAGAGTTCCTTTTTCCCCACAACCTCGCCAACATTTGTTGTTGCTAGTTTTTTAAATATGTGCCATTCTCACTGGTGTAAGATGGTATCTCATTGTAGTTTTGATTTGCATTTCCCTGATTACAAGTGATGTTGAACATTTTTTCATATGCCTGTTGGCCATTTGCAATTCCTCTTCAGAGAAGTTTCTTTTTAGCTCCTCTGCCCATTTTTTTGACTAGATTCTTTTCTTTGTTGTTGTTGAGTCTCATCAGCTCTTTGCAGATTTTTGTGATCAGTCCTTTATCATTAGTGTTATGTGCAAAAATGTTCTCCCAGTCGGTGGGGATTCTCTTTGTTTTGGTTATTGTCTCTTTTGCTGTGCAGAAGCTCTTTAATTTGATGTAGTCCCAGCTGTTTATCTTTGCCTTCACTATCACTGCTTTGGGTGATGTGTCTGTAAAGATGTCTTTGATGTGCATATCACGTAGCGTTTTGCCTATATTTCCTTCTATGTATTTTATGGTTTCAGGTCTTATGTCTAGTTCTTTAATCCATTTTGAGTTGATTTTTGTGTATGGTGTGAGGTAGTGGTCAAGCTTCATTCTTTAGCATGTAGCGACCCAGTTTCCCAGCACCATTTATTGAACAAACTTTCTTTGCTCCAATGCATAGTCTTTGCTCCTTTGTCAAAGATTAGTTGACCATAAATCTGTGGGTTTATTTCTGGATTTTCTATTCGATTCCATTGGTCTGTATGTCTGTTCTTGTTCCAATACCATGCAGTTTTGATGATTATGGCTTTGTAGTATAGTTTGAAGTCTGGGCATGTGATGCCTCCATTCCCTTCTTTTTTTTTCAGGAGAGCTTTGGCTATTCGAGGTTTTTTTGTGATTCCATATGAATTTCATCAATAATTGTTCTATTTCTTTGAAGAATGACATTGAAATTTTGATTGGAATATACAGATTGAATCTGTATATTGCTTTTGGTCGGGATGGCCATTTTAATAATGTTTATTCTCCAATCCATGAGCAGGGGATGTCTTTCCATTTCTTTGTGTCTTCTTCTATTTCTTTT